TCTCTCTCTCAAATAAATAAATAAATAAAATCTTAAAAAAAAGAAAAATGCATTTCATCTATTTCAACTACCCAAGGGTTTCCCAAATAATTTCAAATAATCAGAGCTTCTGTCTATAAACTTTCTGTAATTTTTCAGTCTATAATATCTCCCTAATATTTTCCATGGTCTCATCTGAACTATCTTCTAAGATGAAGGATTTACATGAATATTTGCCAAATCCATAAATCCATACTGAGGTCTACTCTATGAACACACTTGTCTTTCAAAATGAAAAAGGGAAAACAAGTGAAGGAGCGTGGAAGGATGTGTATCTCTTAACATAGGACACTTAGTGCCTCATCGCCATTTGAACTTGTTTATCCTAACACTGATTTTTTTCTTTTAAATACTTTTAAAATGGTAAGACTAAATATATATTGAGGTTTACTTAAGCACTCGGGTATTCTTGTAACAATTATATAAAAGAGCCCTACCATTATATTAACTTGTATCAGTTAAGAGTTCTGGATAGAAGTTCCCCTATTTTTCTCAATAACAAACTACCCGCAAGTGTAGTGACTTCAGACAGCAGCCCATTTATTAACTGACGATTTTGGGGGTCACCAGTTTGGCCAGTGGTGGGCAGATGGGGGCGCTGGCTGATGTAGGAAAGCCTCTGCTGAGCCACTTCTCGCTGCTTTATGTGGCCTCTCATCTTCAGGTGAGCTAGTTATTCACCTGGTAGGGTTTCAAGAGACCAAGCAGAAGCATGTTGAGGCCTCAGCTCAGAATGGTACCTAATCACTTCCGCCTCGTTTTCCTGGCGAAAGCAAACCATCAGGCTGATCCAGATTCAAGGTCTGAGGACTCTACTTCTTGACAAGAGGAGCCACAAATTCACATCACTAAGTAGGGGGGGATGGAGAGAGTGGCTACAGAGAGAGAGAATTGTGGCCATTTTTGCAAAACATCTACCAACCATTTGTCAGGTGAGATAATTTACGCTTAAAAGAACACACCTTGACTAAATCACCTAGGTTTTAAATGGTGGGGTCAGGATGTGAATTAAATTCTGACTCCAGAACTCGATTTTTTTTTTTTTTTTAAGTATAGTTGACATACAATGTTAAGTTAGTTCCTGGTGTGCAATGTAGGGATTTGACAAGTTTGTACACCGTGCTGTGCTCACCACAAGTGTGGCTGCATCTGTCACCACGTGATGCTGTTACAATACCATTGACTATATACCTTATGCTGTACTTTTTATTCCTGTGACCTGTTCATTCCACAACTGGAAGCCTGTATCTCCCAGTCCCCTTCTCTCATTTTGCCCACCTGCCAACTCCCTTCTCCTCTGGAACCATCAGTCTGTATTTATACGTCTGATCTGCTTTTTCTTTCTTCATTTGGCTTTGGTTTTTTTAGATCCCACATATGAGTGGAATCATTTGGTATTTGTCTTTCTCTGAGTTACTTAACTTACCATAATACTGTCTGGGTCCATCCATGTTGTTGCAAATGGGATGCTCTCATCCTTTTTTATGGCTGCATAATATTCCATTTTATACATGTGTGTGATTGTGTGTACATATACACACACCGCTACTTCCTATCCATGTGTCTATCAGGGGACACCTGCACTGCTTCTACATCTTGGCTATTGTAACTACAAAGCTCCATATATCTTTTGGAATTAGTGTTTTCTTTGGGTAAATACCCAGTAGTGAAATTCACACTCCTAACCACTCTACCGCATTACCTCTGAGTTTTCCCACATTGATTTTTCTTTCTCATATCTTCTTGATGGTCTTAGTAAAAGGTTTTTAAAACCAGTCATAATTCTATTAGAACACAAATATCTTGGCTTCCTTTGGGACTTTTTCTTTTTTTTTTTTTTTAAGATTTTATTTATTTGAAAGAGAGACACACAGTGAAAGAGGGAACACAAGCAGGGGGAGAGGGAGAGGGAGAAGCAGGCTCCCTGCAGAGCAGGGAGCCTGATGTGGGGCTCGATCCCAGGACCCTGGGATCATGACCTGAGCCGAAGGCAGACGCTTAACCGACTGAGCCATCCAGGCGCCCCACATTGCTCAATCATTTTGCAAGCACTCTTATATGACACATTGGTGACACCAATATATTTTTGTTTCTCACCAGATGTATTCATCGTGGCTACAAAACACTGATTTGGGACTCTCTTTGTTTCTTCCACAGGCTTACCTGAAGCATTTAAAGAAACAACAGAAGGAACTAAATTCTTTAAAGAAGAAACATGCAAAGGTATGATGTGTTGAGTGTGCTTACATAGGTATGTGTGTATGATTTTGTTTGCTTGTTTGTTTTCTACTTTTAGCTCTCTAATGAAAAGCTGTTATTCTGTGTAATGGACCAGTGGATTCCTCACAGGCAAAAACATGGCTTAGAAACTGACACCAGCCAACTGGACAGTAGTACCTTCATTTTCACTGATTGGAAAATGACATTTAAAAACAGAATCCATTTGGGATTGGCTGTCACTGATTTGTAATCTGCATTTCTAACAGTTCTTTCAAAAGATAACAAAGCCTCGCCCATTTAAAAATAGTTTAATAATCGGACTTTATCTAAAAATAAATAGGCCATAGCCAGACTCTTGAAGACCAGCTCATAGTCTCAGTTAGCCTAGAGGCACCTCCATCCCCTGGGTTGCAAGTCCTTTACCACACACAGTGCACGGAGGGAGGTACTAGCCAGCTCTGAACTTCTTACCCATGGCTCCTGGAGAGAGGGTTCTTCTCACTTTCCCCATTATGTAAACTCTGCTCAGTGTCCTACTTCTGAAATAGAGTTGTTTTTCCTTTTCGCCCATAAGAAGAGGTTTTTTTTGACAGTGATCATGAGAAATTATAAGAGCTGGTTGGCCTCAGGAGTTCTAGTGTGGGTTGGAAACTTCACCACACTCAGGCATCATCCTGCTCCGCATCACTCCTCATAGGGAAAGGAGGAGAACATAATACCTCTTTCCTTCCCAAGATGGATCACAACAATCCCTGGGGCTGGAAGGGTAACGTGTGGGTTCATCCATTTAGGGCAACAGGAGCAAGAGAAAATTTCTTAAAGGACTTCAGAGTTCTTTTAAACTAATCTTGCATTCCTCTTCTTTGTACTCTGACTCAATCCTCAAACTAAAGCATGCCCTGCAGAGCCAGACTTGAGTGATGTATCTCTGAATCACTCCAGATATTAAACTGCAGGGCTCATGGCCCCAATTTAACAATTTGTGCTCCTTTGAGAAACTCAGCCTAATCTTGGCCTAGTAATATTCCCTGTATTATTGAACTGATAGCTTGGTGGATTTGCTGATCTAGAGGTAACTCCACAGACTCTTTGCTCCTAAATTTCATGAATAAGTCCATTTAATGGAATTCCTTTTTATTGCCCATAGGGGACTCTTGCCACAGACTTTTAGAAGTGTGGGACTGTTGGAGAGAGAGCTGCTTAACACAGTGCTTTCAATTTTGTTGGTCAATGGCAGCAAAACCCTAGAATATGGAAAGGCAACAGAAAAGAGGGAGAAGAGGCAACTTAACTGACTTTGATTAGAGGGATGGACTTGGTACCCACATGGCAAGACAGCGTCCCCCAGATCTTCCTTCCATTGAACTTTGATCTCTGTCATTGAGGCAGGCATCTCCATGGCCTGTGGGCTCCATGGAAACTTCCAACTTTTTTTTTTTTTAAGATTTTATTTATTTATTTGACAGAGAGAGACACAGTGAAAGAGGGAACACAAGCAGAGGGAGTGGGAGAGGGAGAAGCAGGCTCCCCGCAGAGCAGGGAGCCCGATGTGGGGCTCGATCCCAGGACCCTGGGACCATGACCTGAGC